AAGGACCCATGACCCATGAGGTGGTCTCACCACAGGCCGGGGTACGGTTAGACTGAAGAATGGGTTGGGTCCTCGGGTCCTTGTTTTCACATATTGACCTTGTCAAGAGCAATCATTTGTTTTATTATACTGAAATATATAAGTATTATACTATACTGTCTTCTGTTTCATTACAGTAACTTAGCTGTGAACCATAACATGTTCGTACTAGACACCATCTTGTTTTCTAGCAAACGAGTCAATATTCATCATGTAACATGTCAATACTGATCATGTGACGAATCAATATTTGAGGTCAGTGTCAGTCACATGATTTCGGGGTCTTCTTTGAAGTTTATTGTTTCGTCGTGTATGGATTAACCAATGGCATTGCAAGATTCTTAATAGAGGTATAACAAAGAAACATAAACCTGTTTAACGGTTCAATTCCTTTCAGAAATTACTAATACAGTATGTAAATTGTGCTGTAATGAGTGGGTGATGTGCAGGAAAAGAAAACATCAATCTTTTTGGCTTATGATTTTTGAAGGCTGATTCTTGGATTTCCACCAGGAGTTCAGTCAGTGTGTATCACTGTAGACTGTCATGTGACTACTTCTCGACCAATCAGGGGACAAGGTTGGCTTAGTTGCCTAAGGCACCATAATTCAGTTGTGATAATAATTAATGGGTGAAATTCAGTTTCATAATGACCTGAGCTTTTAAAATATTAATTGAAAAATAAGATACTCTGGTTAAATGGCAATTAAAGGGAACAAAAATTTACTTATTGAATTTGGTTATTGTCAAAACAAAGTCATAGACATTAAAAACATGATAAACAATATTTTGAGTGAATGATTATACTGTTTATCAGTGACGGTATGGTATAACAGTCATTACTATGCCTCAAAGTGAGATTGACCAATCAGAGGAGAACTACTGACCCACATGAGCCGTATACCATCAGTAAAAATCCAAGATGGTTGTTACTGACCTAATATGAGACCATATACCGCCGTCAGTAACAGCCATCTTGGATTTTCCAACACCCACTCCTCATTTTCACAAGAACATTCTGGTATAGAAGTTCGTTATTTGACGTTATTTTGTGTTTTAATATAATTAATTGTGATGTGCAGAGACATTCATTTTTAAAGAAACTACGTTCGTGGCTTTATAGCTAAAATTATAGAGAGAAAAAGCTCACAACAGAGGTCACTGATTTACAAATAGCAACGTCATAGAACATAATATAGGATGACGTCACAAACAAAACATGTGACTCCAATGATGTCACACAGCAATAGATAGAATAGATAGCAGCCCGTCGTTAGGGATAAGCTGACTGCTATCAAGTTACAGCAGAGACCATATAATAGAGGGACGGCCCTCCCCAACAGTTTATCATAAACCATCAGCGCTACGGTCTGGCATGTAACTGATACACCCCGACACCCTGCTGTTAACCTCTCTGTACCGCTGCAGATGCGCAATAGATGCGCAGACATTCACGACTGACCATTCTGGTAACCACGTAAACAATATTATATAATATCCGGGGCTAGAGTTAATTCCCTTAGCCGAGATTTCTCCGACTACGACCAGCGACAATCCAATAAAAGGACGTCTCTTAGCGGATCACAAAGATTTTCCTGGTCTAAATAGAATGACAGTGATGTTACCGCTACCAAGCCGTTGGTAAATACCTCCCAAAATGATTCACTCAAAGAAAAAGATAGGAAATGAAAATATGACGTCTGTCCACAAGCGTAAGTTTTCGAGGGCGTGTGAAGAAAAAGCCGTTCCGATATCAAAAGTATTTTATAACGCATTCTGTTTGTTTTAAAAATCAGTTAATATATCTCATTTTATGCTGCAATTGTTAACTATTATAAATAAACAAATATACCAAATCTACTACGAACGCCACAGAAAACTACGATCCGGTAAATTGCACAGGAACTCAGGAAGTGTAAATAAAACTCATCCAGAAGCAGGGAAGACACTTGTAACATATCACCATATTCCCGATGTTCACAAAATATGTCTCCATATTAACTTCATATCTTATAATAAGTCCAGACTAGATTTACTTGCAAAAATGCATGATCACCGACTGGTGTAAATGCTTTACTATTAGCTAGAAAAAAACAACGCCATATTAATGTTTTTATTTCATGTAAATTCGCTACTATTTTATAATGCTAATAGTTCCAATGAATGAGAAATACACATTAAACTACGAGCGTTGTTAAATGAATTTTCGATGTGTCCGACAATGGGCTTCGAAAGAATCAAACGTTATTGGTTAATGCCAGTTTGGGGCTAGCAGTGATAAAGGGGTTTGCCGGAGCGAGGTAAGTTTTTTTTCAAAGGGAGGCTACTGTTAAAGTCCAAATATTCCGATATTACCCGATTAGATTGATATTTCAGCATACAAATAATTAGGTACTTCAGGTATAACAATATAGCTTCAACGAGCATGGTACCAGATATGTACTAGTATATCGTAAACTGTAGTAACGTTTGTTGTTTTCAAAATTCTTTCATCATAGTTTTCTATATCTGATCAATGAAAAACAAACTTTAAACTCTAACCTGGAACAAAGCATGCAACTACACATGTATTACTATTAAAACAAAACAAAACATCACAAACTCTGACAAATATGTAAATGTATTTTTCACAGAAAAGGACAATAGACCATCTATATATTTTACTGAATGACACCTTCGACCTTGTTGTCTGGAACTTCTCTCCCGACGACTGCCGATATAATCCTTCTTCTTTCTTGGCATTTACAAAGCAAATGATTATTTTATTATACAAATATTTCATGTAACGGATTTTTATTTTTGTATGATGTTTTCATAGTTGTGTAAATACACAAAGTAAGTAGTATATTTACATTATTATGATTGGGTTTAGGCCAATATCATTTTGCTCATAATCAATATTTACACGGCATAAAATAAATAATTGATTAAATGTAGTCATGATTTATACAGACAAAATCTACAGAAGATAACAAATATGTAGTATTGTAGTATGTAGTATATGCGCGATATGTGATAAGGCCTAACTGAAACAAAGTTAAACTTACGAAGAAATGGCGAAGCAATGGTAAAAAAAAATACGCGTTTTACAAAAACAATTCTAATATCATACAATATAAGTCACTTTGTAGAATGTTTCAAAGGATATATGCGGATGATAATCACAGACAAAATGCATGTTATGTCGTCTGCTATATGGTAATTTAACTTAAAATATGTGACGTAAAATATGGCCTTGCGCCAAAAATCATACCAAAAAAACTACCGATCGTACCTAAATAACGTTGGTACCAAGCCATAGGGGAAATCGTGATGAATGTAAAACTATTAAATTCAGGACCGATAATAGGAACACATTCGTCTGAAAGCATGCGAAAATTAGGAGTTGTGATGTAATTATTTCGGATTAATTCAGATTTAGTCCCATTTCTGGAGTCAAAATCTGAAATTTCGGATCCGCCCTAAATTTGTTAATGGCACTAAGCCAATTTTTAACATATCTCCTTTTTATACACCTACGTAACCAAGGACTTTCATTGCGAATTAGAGGCCGTTATTGAAAATCAAAATCTGCACTTTTGCCGATTTTACATGTGCGCCATTTTGTTCTCTCGGACAAAGACAAAGCGTGATCACAGTCATCAAATACAGTGACAACGACATGCTTTAGGGCACCAACAAATCTCAGTTGTAATGTTAACAATGTTAAGAAATACATGAGTGTAATTATGTATTGTGAAATATATCTTTTGCATGGGAAAACAAGGCAACAACGATGACTGCAGTGAACGCGTTTCTGCTCGCTTCCGGACAGGCTGCGCAGTACAAGCCGTAGCACTGATGGTTTCGCGCATAGGCTAGAGGGCCGTCCCTCTATTATATGGTCTCTGGTTACAGTTGACTGCAGATTCCTGTTAAAATTGATAGAATTATAATAAAACTGCCCGCATGTTATAACACGTGTTTAAACGTTCACATTTAGTGCATTATATATTCCATTGTTAACGTTTGTGTTTACATAAGAGAATTGTATCAGAAACATATGTACTGATACTGTCATTTATGCTGATTGTAAGTGTCAAGTTTTCACTTTGACATGACATGTGCGATGAAGATACCAAATAATGTAAACTTTTTGGCATAATAAATTTGTTATGGTGTCTTTAGTGGCTGTATATGGAGTCATAATAGGTTAGCCTCTATACAATGGTATACAATGGTATAAAACTCATTCCAACCCCAAATGCAGTAATTCTGCATATTTGCATTATTTTGGCAATGGTATAAGTCTTGTAATGGACCAACCACTTGATAATCCGGGGTGAGGTGGGGACTGAGATTTTGTGTTGAAACTGGATATTTGTTCAGCTACAGGAGCAAAACCAGATATATATTTAATTAAACTTATGAGCCTAAATATTATTTTTGAAAAAACACCTTGTAACAATGTATTTAATGGAGAGAAAAAAACACCCCTCAGAATATTAAACAGTTGATTCCTAATAAAAGAAATCCAGTTTTAATTCTCTAAACAAGTTTGTGAGTAATGGTGATCCTGAAATTATAGAAACGTTGGAAACCCCTGAAACCCACCCTCCCTTACTAACAGACCAGCATGAAGTGGAGGTGACCTCCCTAACTATCAGACCAGCATGAAGTGGAGGTGACCTCCCTTACTAACAGACCAGCATGAAGTGGAGGTGACCTCCCTTACTAACAGACCAGCATGAAGTGGAGGTGACCTCCCTTACTAACAGACCAGCATGAAGTGGAGGTGACCTCCCTTACTAACAGACCAGCATGAAGTGGAGGTGACAAGAGACGACTCTTCAAGCTGCTGGAAGGTTTCAGTGGAAATGTAGGAGTGCATAACATTAGGATCATTTTTTTAGTCCAACTCAACCTGTCACTGATACAGAGATAAGCTGTCGCATATTTTGATTTCAATATTGATTTTCCAGGTGCATGTGATGAAAGACTAGAACCGCCACAGGTACTCAAATGCCAGCCACCCTGCCTGGCAGACAAGTCGGAGTGTAGCGATACCAACGTGTGCCGGTGTCGCGGGGAGCTGGAGGCGCTGTACCACCCGGATGGCACAATTGAACTCTGTGTAATGGACAAGAATCAAACCACAACGATCCTCACCACTTCTGTCACTCTGCCAGGTAAGTTGGAGAATCAACAAGGCTTCATATGCTGTGAAAATATATAAAAATACATATATCTTTTATAAACTTATGTTGATAACTTATGTGCATAGCGTTGGCAAAGTTGCGTTTCTTTGTTTATTACTATGTATTTATTAAATGTGTTTTTTCAGACAGTGCCAGGGGAGAATTCAGGATTTTAAATAAGGGGGGTTCCGCTTGGGCCATTTGTAACTTCAGTGGGAGGGGAGGATTCCACCCAAAAGCTTTCCCCAAAAGACACCAACGCTATATGGAAATCAAAGTGGACACAATTTATGGACAACAACTTCTATATTTACTGTTATTTAGTTGTTATCCATAACTTGTGTCTACTTTGTCATCCGTCAACTACTAAGTAATGCCTATCAAACAATTTATATGGAAACTATAATTATTTTTACTTTATCAACTAAATCAACATGTTATCATGGTAGGCTATGCACATATAAAAAGTCATCAGATGTGAAAAAAGGAGGGAAGGCGACCAGATAACATTTTTATCCTGTCTTGTGACCCAACAAACTTAACATTTTTACTGCACCATTCCCAAAGTATATAACTTTGTCAAGGAACACAACGAGATAAACATGTTATTTGACAAGAAGAAAATAACACCTATGGTATTATTGTGTTCTCAGCGGATGGCGCCAGCAATATCTGGATGTATGCTGTGATCGCAGTGGGCACCATCTTTGTCATCTCCGTGGCAGCTGCGCTGTACAACATGTGGTGAGTCCCATCTTCATTGCTTATTGATAGATCACCGCTGCAAGGCTACGTTACTCATAAATCATATCCTTTCAAAATCAATATTTTGAAGGTAAAATACTAAAACCTTCGTGTCCCATTGGTGTAGGCTTCTGGTGTCAGAGGGATGATGTGGCAGACTGATCTTACAGTTGATAACAGCTTAGCTGTACAAGTTGCAGGTTTCACTCACTAGAGTGAGTGAGTGAATTGGGTTTTTGACGCCGCTTTGAAAGGTGTTTCAGTTATGTCATGTCTTGTCAGCTTCGTGTAAGAGAAAATCCTGAAGTGATCAGGTCTTATAGATTTGCTGCTTTGATGAAATCCATGGGTACAGGGGTTATGTGGACTATGGGGATATGGGATTCAAACTCTCTGCACAAGAACTGAGGATGAGATGTCTGCAACTGTTTGAACTGGGGTTTAATTGTAAGCTATCAGCTTTCAGTCACGGTGTGCCTGGTCTGGACTTGAACATATACAGGCTGCCATGATACAGCTTGAATATTGCAGACTTTGCATAAGACAAAATTCTCTCACGGACTTGATACAGATGGCTGGTGTTGGAATCCTACATCAGGTCATAATTAATTATCTCACCTTTCATTAAAATACCAGCTTCTGACTGGTTATGGAGCAAGCAATTATTTTCCATGCAGCTTGCTGAGGTAGGCCACTCATGTAGCTGAGAAATCAATTGTAACACACCTTATGTAATTTGCCATAAGTTTATCAGAATGCATTAGGGAAAGGGAAGTAACTCAGTTTATTTTCATCATCTGCCAGCTGTAAAATTGACTGAATCAAAGCTGTTTACTCAGTGAAATTTCCAACACATTTTCCCGGTCTATATGAATGAATGTTGATGAGATAAATTCATTGAGCCTCTGTATAAGCTCACACACAGAGTACAGCACACCATATACCCCAAGAGATCGGTTGACAACTTACATTGTGAGATTTACATCTTCTCCTGCCTCCGTCCCCAACGCCCCGCAGAGCATCATGATAGCACCCCATCTGCTGATGAAGCAACGGTGCTGTGTTGAAGTCTTTCTGTACTTACCGTCATACACCCTACTTCGTCCAAACAAACACCCAAGGCTCATTTTAAGATGACTATCGTGTCTAAGATATGACACTGAAGAAATAAGCCACTGTCACTCTCTGTGATTAGAGGGTGCTGGCCATGTTATTGGCTCCAGGGCTCAGATGAAATTGAATTTTGAGGACCAAACCAACATGACCCTCTTGTTCTCAAACTCGGGATATGAATGATGATCTGTCATGCCACAGGGTGTGGGGGGTCAATTTTATTTACCGTATTTGACGTAATAAGCGCCCACAGCGATATTTGCTAATATATTGGCTAGTGAACAATCCCAATTAGCACCCCTTCCAATTGAAGACTTATTTATGCACCCTTAATTATGGGCAATTAAATTCTGGAAAAATACATCTGTCGTATATAAACATTTTAGGCTGTCAGCATAAACCACAAAATATAATTTTCAACTCTGATTTTTTAACCAAAATAGTATTTTAATTAGAGCCCCCTTTTTCTAATTTTGTGAGAGCCCTGGCCGCTTATTGCGTCGAATACGGTATTAACAAGATATGTTTATTTCAATTACTCTGAATGATGCATTCACATCCAACAACCGTGCCGTCTCTGGTTCATCCACTGTTTTAGGTTAGTGCTGAAGCGAGCCCGAAGGTGTAGCTGATGTGGCTAAACACTGACTTTATGTCAAACACAGTACAAAAAGCTTTTATTTTGACAGTTTATGTCTTTAGGTTATTGATATTGCTGCAGTTGTTTTTCATCGTTGTATAATAGCCTTCTCCCTCACTCACGCATTGTGTGCTGAGATACTGATATCACATCCGTTTACTCTCTGTGGTCATTTCAATTTTTTAATATTTCTGATGTTCTAAAGTATTCCACATACTTTCTGCAGAAAAATACTTCACAAAAAAATAGCTTTTCTGTCCTAATTCTTATTGTTTGATAAATAAATTTCAAGTAATTCTGAGATGTTTGATTGGCTAACAAAACAATATTTTTACATGTACCAAAAATTATTAAAGCCATGCCCTAACTACGGGTTCCTGATTTGCTGATAATAGACGGACAGCGCTTGTGTTTCATTATTACACTATATGATGTCACTGATTTTGTAATGTCTACGGGGTTTTTTTTTGTGTTGATAATTTTTGACGTATCTATACTCACTGCCAAAAGAAACATGGATCATAGATACATATAGAGACTTATGTACGTTAAGAAGAGATGTTTCCAATGTAGACCAATTAATGACAAAACTAACAATCAGACTAGTGTTACCACAGAGTATCTTTATTCTTTTCATGATATGCTGCACATGATTTCCAAAATTTACACCCTAATCTTGCACGAGTCAAATGGCGCGATTTGTCATACCAGTAACCATGGAGACCAGGGTGAGACCAGGTTTCAGCAGCACAGGCCACCATGACATAGCTGGAATTATGCTGACTCTAGCACTAAATGTCCACTCACTCACTCACTCCATGGTTAATGAGCTAGCCCAGTGGGTAAAGTGTTTGCTGAAGACATGATGATACTCCACAGGCGTACAAAAGGCGAACCTCATTGTTGGTGTGCCCTGATGTTATGTAATTTAAAACTTTCTAAAAGGATTTTAAGAGCCAGTTATATTTTGTATTTTGTTCATTTTTAAGTTATATTTTGTCTGTTTTAGTTTAGTTCAAGGTTTTATGACTTTAGTCAACATGTTAAGCTCAAGAGGTTAGACATGATCTTGTAACTCTTCACAAGTGAACAGTGGTCTGATAAAAATTGTCTGATGAAACTTGTCTGATGATCTGATATTAGGCTATGTTGGGCATTGACAGTAAGACCAGCTTATTTTCTAATACAAGACCATTTTCAGATAATAATATGTTTGGAGTCAAGTTTTAATGTGGTAGGCCCTCAGAGGACATTTTCAGTGTTTAAAATGTTTTATAAAAATGATATTACATATCAAGAAGAAAATTCAATTCCTTGTATACATAGAAAAAGTATTTCATTTTATGATTTAAAATGTTGTATAAAAATGGTATTGCATTTGAAGAAGAAAATGGAATTCCTGTTATAGAAAAAGAATGTACTTTCTGATTGTCCTTCAAGATTACTTACGTAAAGTTCATCTGATTCTGCTAATGGTGCTGGAACTTCAAGCTGGTTTAATTCTGTAACGTGATCATCTAGAAGCCACAAAATGTATATGTCATCCTTTCCAATGTTTGTTGAGTTGTTATAGGTCATGGACCTAAAGGACATTGTCACCAAAGCATATTAATGACAGTCCAATCTACTGAATTATATCCCACCATGCTGTGTGATAATAGAGAGTTGTTATGGAAAGGGAAAGGCAACAAAAATCAATATTGTGCTTACTGCATGCATGATCTTCAAGATTGACATAGGAGAAGGAGCAAAGATGGGAAGGGCAGAGGGATTTAAATTACCATTTTGGGGGGGATGTTTTGAATAATACCGGGCAGTTGATGGGCCAGTAGGCTCCCTGTTACCAAGTGGTGGGTTGCACAGGAGCTACTAGGATCATGGGTTCAATCCCAGATTCTGATGATGAGCGCCATGTATTTGTGGTGCACCAAGTGGTAATTCTATCCTCTTCACGCACTTCACACACTATGGTAGAACAGGAACATCTGCAGACAAATATGTAATAAAGCAAACAAAAGACTTTAAAAAACAATTCTCCAGCAATATCAAGTACTCCTATTCAGGTAGTTTGTTGATGAAGACATTTTCAATGTGTGGCCGATCTCTACAGTAGTTAGTTGACAAGGACATTCTCTGTGTATGTGGCCGATCTCTACAGTTGTTTGTTGACAAGTACATTCTCAGTGTGTGGCCGATCTCTACAGCAAAGAAACAGGATGTTGTAGCCTTGTGCTTTTCTTCTTAATTATTTCATATAATATGGGGGAATTAGGGGGAATTCCAGATGCCAATGAATTTCCATAAGTCCCCAAATCAGATGAAATTTGTTTGTGAATGTGTTAATTCGATTTTATCAAAAAAGATAAACTGACCCCTAAATATTCTTGAAAAAAATTGTTTTATACAGATTGATGAAAAAGAAAGAGTTGCTTGCCACTAAAATAACATTGTTGCAAGGTGTTTCCCCCCCCCCCCCCCCCCCCCCAAAAAGGCTCTTAGTTTTAAATTAAAAAAATATCTGGTATTGTAGCTGTAGCTGAAAAACTATATAATCTCGATACAAGGACCCAGCCCCCTGGAATATGATTTGGTCGAGGTTCCTTAAAGGGGCACTGATCTAACGCAATTCCCTGGACTGGTTGTTAACTTTGTTATTGTTTTTTCCCCGTGAGTACCCGGATGATACGCAACGCAACTGAGCGTGACCAGAGACTGGGCTACCGTCTGCAAGGACAGCTAAATAAACTTAGAGGCTGGAGGCAATATTTGTTTTACGCATTTTTGAACAATGATTGGTTAACTGTGATCTATAAAGATTTCGACAAAGGGCGCATGTTAATTAATTTCTTCAGCCTAAACAAACAGACAAAAAGAACGGCGGAGCTCATCGGATGTCGTCATTTGGAAATACTCCAGATAGTTATAGTTTAATAATAAAAAAAGTATCCATGCAGTGAATTGCGGATTGCGTCGATAATATGATTACTACTCCCTCGTTGTCATCCACGTCTTCTGGTATAACCCTACACTTGTGTATTTGTCGTCATTCACTTGATGCTCAGTTAATGAATTTATTACAGGTACAATTATTGGTAGCACCACTTAGATTACCTGACAAAGGGTCCCACTTGGCATTTATTGTGTCTGGGGTAATTATTCAATCTAAATCCAGGTTTGAAGTGAGGTGAAATGTTTGTTATGTAATATGCACGTGGCAGCCCAGCAAGAGGTGAATGATCAGTTGATT